TGTGTTGTGCACAAAGCGATAGTGCTTTTTACAGGACAGAAACACCAGAACTTGTTTTAACATGTTTCCTTGTAATACTGGAACAGAAGCCTTCACAATCACAGTTTATTTTGGCACAAGGAAGGAAAGAAAACTGTCATGTTAGATTGACATAGTTAAGTAACTCCAGCAGTAAAATTGATTTATATATAGGACTCTTCATAACTATTACTGCAGAGTAAATACATTATAGCTTTATGGCTTGTACTCTTGTGCTTAAACAGTATACCGTCTAAAGTGTTGTTCAAAGACAAAAATGATGCCTCTTTATAATCAATCTCTTGAATTCCACATGGCCCCTATTCCAATGAGACACTTAAACTCCTTAGATATATTTATCAATGACAGAAAACCAGGAACAAAAGCAATCCTGCCTCTACAGTGTACAAGGTGCATATGAAAAATGCAGACTCTTGATAGAACATAAAGAAATATAGAGTGCAGTTATGTGGCTCCATTCTGTGCTACACTTTGGTAATGTGGCCTGTTCTGCAGACTCTCTTCATTCAGATAAGAGATAATTAACTCCATTAACATATTAAATTACATTTCTGCCTTTTAAATTAACATTGGGTACAGTCTCTGTACCTTCCTGTTGTACAAAGGATGTTTACTGTGGAGAAAAAAAAAGAAATTTTTTTAAAAAACATTAATGTAAGTCTTACTATTACGTAAACTGACAGCCACCTCTCTGTGTTTATCACTGTGATGATAATTTATGTAATAAAAAGGATAAACAAAACATCCCAGCATGTACCCTGTGAGTGTGACAGAATAGTTTCTTTAGAAATTTACAAGTAGCTGACATCTAAAAAATAACATTTACAGGTTAGGCATGGTTAAATTTTGTTCACTTTTAGTATTAACATTACAGACCTAATATATTGCTATCCTGCCTGTAATTTGTATTTATATCTTAATGCCTTTTGTAAGAATCACAATTAAATTAAAATTAAAATGTATCTAATTTGACTGGTCTCCCCTTAAAAAAAAAATTATAACCCCACAGCAGAGAAGCTGTAGCTACTACTAGTATGAAAGATCTGCTATTGTTTACAGAAAACCTATCTAAGCAAAGCTTGTGATAGCTGTAAATTTAATTAGGATATGTTCCTGCCGGCAGGAAGAAATCATTTGTTAATCACCAGGCTGATACAATGCTGACATGCATGAAAAACAAAAATATTAAAGCATTTTCTATATTTTAGAAGCTTCAACAAACTTACTATTTAATGTTTTTTTTTGTAGTGAAATTTGTATTAGGAAAAATTAAACAGTCCTTTCCTAAGGCTATTCTTGGAATTAGGATTTCACAATATGAGTGGCCCTAGGAACATTTTCACTAATAATCCCACATGCTTATAGCTGTATAATATAGGTTAATGCTAAGGTACTTGGACATCTCCCCAGCAATCCCTGCTGAAAATTAATATGCAGAATATGGTTGTGTGTAGCTGCTTTAGTGTCTGTCCTGCTTCCAGGCTCAGCTGTGCCTGCGTCTCAGGGCTGATGTTTAGTATTTTAGATATGGTACATTAACAGCATCTGGTTAAAATCGAAATGCTTGTAAAATACGCTGAAATATGGAAAAGGAGGGAGAGAAAAAAAACGGGGTAAAGGGCTCAGAAAGTCAACAAAGGTTATTATCCTGAAGGTATTACAACTGGCCCTTAACTAAATGCAGCACAGGACAGGGTAGAGTTTCAAAGATTCTTTAAAATCGGACAATAAAATTAAAAACACAAGGGTAAAGAATGGAACCTCATGGAAAGCAGAATCTAACAGCTTAAAGTCAGAAAACCTGGAACTGGGGCTTGAAAACAAGGTGAGCTGTTTCACACCTGAGCTACCTCTGTTATAGAAACAAAAGCTGTGGTGCAGTTTTTTACAAGGAGAGGGCCTCTCCAGGCTGTCCTTGTAACCTTGCTGGAGTAGATTCGAGTGAACACTAGTTACTTCATTAATAAGAAGCTGCTGGAGAACTCTGTATTTTTTCGGTGTAATGGACCACATTACAGACCTATATTACAAAACTGCAGCGAAAGTGTGTTTGTGTAAGTGTTTTTTAATGTATACAACAGTTTCATTTACTAATATGTTTCACCCATAATGTGCAATGGGTCAGTCTTTAACTGGACAGTTAATGACCGGCTGCAGAAGTTACTGTACCCATGAGGAACATCGAAGAAGCTCAACCCCACAGATTGTCTTTAGCTGGTCACTAAAGAATAAGCCTGTTTTTTTTAGTGGAAATGGAGTCAAGACGCATGTGTGCATGAAAGAAAGAATGCAAAAACCATTCTGAAAAAGAGAAAAACTGCGCACAAAAAGAGTCATGGGTTTTATACGCGAGACTGCTTATTATGATTTCTGCCTCTCTGTGTGTGCCATTTGTTTTGGTTCCGAACGTGCATTTGTATGTGATTAAAACCTCCGCAGAAACTTTTATGCATCCCAGGAGGGTCTCAATAATAAACAGCTTTCACCTTCCCCGCTCTGAAAGTGAGCCTGTTCTGCTTTAAGGTTCTGTCTGTTTGCCTGGTGACATCAAAGGGAGCACCGGTGGGCTGAGGAGAGGGACAGTTTGACCTCAAAGGGTTATTAGTTTGTGGCTTGGTAGAGGCCTGTAAAGTTACGTACCGTACTACTGCTGTTAGCGATTAAGCTGATGGGTAAAGTCTATACCACAATCTCTCCCTGCTGCTGACACAGAGCCTTTCTTCGCATTCAGATTACTCAAACTGTTGCCAGGGTCAGGCCGAGGTCAGACACCATGATGATGTATAGGAAAGCATGTCTGGGAATTTCTCGCGCTCTTGAAACGCATACCAGGAAAGCAGCAGAACACCCTACCCCAAAAAAAAAATTGTCTGATGAGACCCAGATGATAGCTGCTCTTTTTTACTACCTTCAGAATTTGCCTCTTTCTTTTGCTTGACGCTCCATGTTTTATTAATGCATTTCGCGATAGCCTTAAAAATTTCATGTCCCCTGGAGGTAGAGACGCTCGGTAGCACTTTGACACTTCGCTTCCCTGCCAAGGGGAATGGGTCAGTGAATCCGCTGGCGGAACAATGCGCAGATTCCCCAGGATGGGGCGGCGGGGGTGGGGGGAGGGGGCCAGAGAGAGGAAGAAAGGAAAGGGAGAGGGTGTGGGCAGAGTGCTGCCCTGGGCCTGCGGGCCTGACCCTGAGGATGAGCCCCATGTGTGTGCACATGGCATGAACCCAGCCCAGTCTGGTCGTGATCACAGGCTCCCAGCAGCCCGAGCAGCGCTCCCCTGCCACCTCTACAAGCACTGTGACAGGGGAGCCGGCCTCCCCTCTCCTCTGATTAACCATCAGGAGCGGCGGGGCTTAAGAAACACAGCGGCCGCGTGCACCCCCACACCCCCCTTTGCATTTCTCAGATGATGCGGGATGGGGGAAGGGAGGGTGCAGAGCCGCAGCTTTTTTTTTGTGAACGTGACCTTCATGCTTTTCATGTGCGTCTCCTGGCTGTTTCACAGTGCGCTGGGAGTAGAACGACAAATGCCCCCTTTCCTAGTTCGTATCCCTTGAATTTTCCCCGTGTGTGTCGGAGGAGGGCGGTCTGCTGGTGCCCAGGGCAGGTCCCTCTCCGCCAGCGTACCTTCGTCGCGAGACAAATTCGAATACGCCGTCACCACACAAACGCCAACATTTTAGCACGCAGCTGCTACCTACGACAGGATATTTCATCGTGTTGTCGGAATATTATTAATAAAACATCAGACGCAGAGTGTGCCACAATTTCTCCTCTCAATCATTCTCAGCATCTGCAATGAAAATTTTATGCTACGTATAATTTCCGCTTAATGTGTTGCACTTAACATGCTGGCAGCGGTCCTGCGCGTGGAGTCTGAAAGGGTTAATTATATCATGTTCTGTGAGCACGACTGCTGCTTACCAAACAATGACTTGAGTGATTGTATGCAAATGTGCTGGTGACCTTTTTGCCACCTCATGGTCAATATATATGGTTATTAAGGCTTTATAAAATTGATGAGCACAGCGCTTTGAACGCCATTTTCTCTCCATTCTCTAATTTATTTAATTCCTGCCAGGTCCCTACAAATATGACTTTTATTTTTGCACTGCAGTCGAACCAGCGTGTGGTGCTGGGGGAGTTGTGAGCCTGGTTATCTGGCATTACTCAGACTGCTAAAAATTCATTAAAATGTGACATCAGCGCAGTAAGAGACAAATGATCTCAGGATGAAAGGGAACAGTGGGCCTTTCACGGATTAGTGCTGCACAGCCCCAGCCTAGCAGCTAACAGCATAAACAGATTAATCCACTCGCAGCATAGCTAAGATACACAGAATTATTAAACAAGGGCCGAGCCACCGCAAAGATTTCCATGTAATCTGCCTAGTGCGAACAATCTGGAGAGGTGTGTGACGGAGATACCCAACGAGAGTTCTGCTCTTTCTCACAGAGAGCGCCCCCTGTCGGCCGGAACGCCTTTCTCCACCCCCCCACCCCCGCGCTCACTTTCCAGGGTCGGAGCGACACCCTGCCTTTATGGCGTAGCCACCACCGGTTTTAATAGAAACCGCTTCATTATAAATGCACATCTGACGGGACCCGGGGCGCCCGCTCGACGGGCCCTGCCCGGCGGGGAGCACCCTCGGTGGCCCGTTGTTTCCAGCCCTCCGGGAGGTTTCCGGGCCGAGCGCCAGCCTCTCACCCTGCCCCGTGTGCTCAGTTGCAGAGGAGCCAGGCGAGGAGCCCGAAGGAGCGTTCAAGCTGGGAGGCGTGGCTGCGGCCGAGGAGAGGGACACGGCCGAGAGGGACGGCAAGGAAGGCAGGAAGACGGAGAAGGAGTCCAGTAAGAGTCCCCCCCCGGTCCCCGTCTTCCTCTCCCCTTTGGTCTCCTGGCCACTCTCGCTAATGACCACTGCATGTGTGTGCTGCCTGGGATTTTTATCACTAGCCTCCCATTGACCTATTTTTAATCATAACCATCTGACAGGATAGACGCGGATAAGTTGAAGAATATTACGGAATGACCAGTGAGATTATTTTTTAATCAAATCAGTTTGCGTGCTTGTAATTTTTTAAGCTCCTTTCATTAATCTTTGCTGTACTTGCGATTCCTCTGATGACATATTAATTTGGCATAAGCGTGGGATTAGATCCCACTCCTGTGTATCCTTTTCTGAAAACACCATGGCAGTGCACCCTTGTAACCCTCAAATGATTTTTTTCCTTTCCTTTCACCTGCTAAGAAGCTATAGCGGCAGAGCACATTCTCCTTAATGTTGGGAAATGTAAAGCCTGCATATATTTGTAAATGTTAACGCATTAACAAAGGCGACAATCTATAAAAACAAAACTCTGTGCAGCTCAGAAAGCGCCCCCTGAGCTAGCATCTGGTGTAGATACCTCAGGCTTTGTTGTATTTGATTTGGCAAATAGAAATTCATACATGCTTTTTTATGTATGAGATGGAAATCTATGGTCGAAATGAATATTACATTGGATCTTTTCACTGCACGCTATACCTAGCTACATTATGTTGGACTCAATGAAGCAGAAGGAATGCTGAAACAGGTTGGAGCCTATTAGTTTAGGTAGTCATCTATCTTTTAACCATATCTGCATGACAGGAACATCTGAAGGAGCTGCTGCTTCAATGCATTTGCACATTGTGTTACAGAAAACATCGTTTAATATTGAAGGAGGGATACAAATCTTGGTTCAAGTTAAATTAATGTCTTGCATTCAGAAAGAAAATCTCCCCACGATTTTTATAATTTTCCTCAGTCCTGTTGTTTCTTTTGCCTTTTAAATAATATCATAGGTTGTGTGTTGACACCCAGCATACAGTAGGTGTGTATTTATACATGAACACATGTGAAGACACATGTATAGAAATTGTTTCATGACCGGTGCTATCCAGAGTCCACAGACTTCATTGCTATCTCTCCGGATTCTATTTTCTTTTTATTTTTTTAAATGACTATTTTAGCTGTGCGCTCTTCTATTACGTATTACAGCATATATAAAAAAATAGATGGGGTTTTCCACTTTCTAACAAAAATATTTAAAAATCCCACGTTATAAGTGTATCTATGTCTCTAATAAAGGAGGTTGTGGAAGAAAAAGATGGTTGAACAGAAAAGGTTACAATAAGAGTTTTAGCAGTTTGACTTATGCATCTTAAATTCATCTTCAAACTAAATGCTTAAAATTGAGGGTGTTTTTCTTGGAGCTCTGGCATCCAATAGCTCATTTACATTGTCATTTTAATCTAGTGTCATTTTAGATTAATTTTAATCCAAATTACATTTTGCATGCAAATTTATTAATCTGGATAAATTCCAGATTAGTTTGTGCACTTCATAGAGATGTAACATGTCAGTAACATGGCTTAAGGGAGTACATTTTTTAATAACACAGTAAACACAAGCAAAGAAAATTAAACTTCATTCATTCCTGCAATGAAAATTATCAGAAGACTCAACTTAAATTAGCAGGGATACTGCCATTGTTCCTACAGACCCATTCTGCTTGCTAATTTCTTGTATAATTTAAATAATACAGATAACTAAAATGAAATGTAATGCATGCAAACTACATCAAATGCTGAATATTTAAATTACAGCTTTCAAAATAAAAATAGTGTGCATGTGTCCATAAATCCTCAGATTAAAATTTACATAAAAGGGTTTCTTTTTGTTTTAATAATTAGATCAAATAAAATATTTCAGCTGTTCTCTTATTTAAGTATTAAAAATAAAATTTGTAAAACATTATATACATGTTTCAGGTTTATACATGAATGAAATCTAAGTTGTGACCAGCATAGAGCCATGTTGGTGTTACTCTCAAGAGGAATTATAGTGCATTTTTAAAATTGCTCTTTTATATAGTGATTCTAGCTTACTGGTTCTTCACAGTGGAAGGTTTTAAATGTGACATTCAGGTGTTATCAGCTGAACTGCAGGGCAAACTAATGCTTAACCCAAACCACTGTCTCTGTAAATCACAAAAGTTACATGAAGTGTTACTGGGGAACAAGCTTATTTATAGCTGTATAGCCTTAACCATACTGTGAAGACAGTAGTGGAGTAAATTAAATAATAAATTTAACCTGCCTTCTCCTCAAGCACTTCTGTTAAATGGATATTTTTTCTCCTCCACCTGTATTATGAAAACTAAGTCTTAATCTTAACAACAACAAAAAGGTCAAGTTTTATTCTGGCTCGTGTTTTTTTACTTCTGCTATTCATTGTAATGCTATACATTACCACACCTCAGGAAACAACAGCCGTCTCAGGAGAGTATTTTGTGCAGTTCTCTGGACAGCCATGCCAGCACTGACGCTGGGCACAACGCCCTGCCATTTTAACAGCAGACCTGCCACGAGAATTTAGTTGTCAGGTTTTCCCACAGTGGGGCTGCACCCATGCTGTGTCAGTGGTTGTGTATGACCATGACGCGCAAGGCTGAGCTACAGTGTGATGACGTGTTTGAGCCAGCCCTACACTGGCCTGGCCTGGGTGTTACTGTGGTGTATTTTTAAAACAGGGCTGCTGTATGCAAGTATATTAGGACACAGTGTAGTAAACAGTGTATACAGAAAACTAATTGCTAAACATAGTAAAAATAAAGTATTGTGCAATGATCTTAACAGCTAGGAGTTCGAAATAAAAGAAGTCAGTCAGTGGAAGATGGGAAGATTGAATATTTGGTTAAATTATGCCACTAGTTTTTGAAACCCGACATCAAGCACTCTTCAGATTTTATATTTTCACTGACAGTTGTAAATAAAGATGGGTGATTTGGCTGTTGGTTTCATCCTTGCAAGGCAAACAGATAGAATGTCATAAATCACCTTTTGATTTATCTAATCAACCAAGGACCAGCTTCTCAAAGGCATTTGTCATTCGGAGAAGAAAGGTGTCACAATTATTTTATCTATTGCTTCATTACTATAAATTGTATTTCGGGTTAAAGGAAAAAAAGAGAAGTCATGATGAAATGTAAAGCACTGCTTAAAATGAAAAATGTAAAAAAATAAGACAGCGTTAGGGTTCAGCACAGCTAATATTTCTTTCTTCAAGTACCATAATTATAAAAAAACAGGAGAAAATCTTAGCGAAAATATCAAGGTTCTTTAAACTGAAATATTATTTTAATGGACAAACTGCATTGTTGGGAGAGAAAGACCTACGTGTATATAATGAATATTACAGTATGTGTCGTACGCACATACTATTTACAAATTCTTAAAACAAGTGTTTGTTTCTCAGCTCTTGGTGCTGTTAATCATATGTATTTTGTAGAGGAAGATGTGAGTTTAGCTCATAAAAAATGTGAGTTCTTGGGATGGGTTTATCTAGAAATATGTATAAGACGTTCCCTATTGTATTTCATATTTGGAAAAAAGCAAGGTTGATAATCTTATTTTCCCTCCTGTCTGTTGCGGTCTGTTCTTTATGCAAGCCTTGTGTTGACTGAAAAGAAATCTTAAAGGTGAATCTTCATGTACAGCATGCAGTCTGATTAGCCCTGGACTATATATTTACATTGAACCTGATAGCAATCAATAGCTCGACTTCATTGCATTGTGAAATGTATTTGCACCCAGTTGTCCAGTGATCACATCCTTACCCTGGAAATAATTTAGTTGCAAATTGACTGGAAGATGGTGAAAATTGAAAGTTAAAATTAGAAATACTCATAATAAACAGCAGGAAAAAAAGGTCAGATGATGCTGGTCTGTGATGAGATTGGAGCATCTGGTAAATGAGGTTTTCTGTTTGTCATGAAATGCATGCAACATGTCTTTCCAGTATTCAAGCCTGTATAAAAGATTATGGCACAATTCTCAGTCTCAGAACATTCTCTGAAGCTGCTGGCAATTTGTCTAAGGCGTACATTTTTTTTTCTTTCAGTCACTTAGCTCGATGGGCTGGTTTTTTTTAATACAGTATTTGTTGGGGGGGAAATTCACCACCAGGAAATACTTACATTTCTAAACAAAGAGAGCATGCATGTACCGTGGATCGCTTTTATGGGATTGTAAAAACAATTGTATAATTAATGATCTAAAATAGCCCTTCAAAACCCTAATAACATTACAGATAATTCCAGCTCTTTTCGGGAGCGTTCAGGTTCCCCAGACTGAGATAAAGACATTGTCCTGAGTGCCCAGGTTTAACTAAGGCACAGTTGCCGAGCACCCCTTGTATCTCAGAAGCTGCAGGACCGGATAAATTGCACTGGCTAAGGCTGGACAGACTGTCTGTATCTCAGGATGAGGGTAATGAAAGATTTATCACCGTGTGCAGCATTTGCTAAATACAAGTAGGAACTGATGTTTAGAATTGAGCGCAGTTGTAATAATGGAACATCACTGTCCCCCAGTGCACAAGGCTTGGGTATTTAGTGTAATATTCAGGAAGGTTATTCAGCGTGCACAGACATGAATCTCTAATGAACTACATTTTTTACATTGAATCAGATCCACAGCGTGTTGTGTTAGCTATGGAAATGAGAGGAAAGTACAATTTTGTCCTCCTTCTTTAGACCGTCTTTCAGATTTTTCTAAGAAAAGCAAAAATAATCTTTTTAGGCTGCCCACACAACAAAGCTTTTAATTCTCTGTAATATAAGTCACTGTAAAAAACATAAAGCTAAATTTACAGTATATTTCTTTGATTACTGAATAACATCTTAAAATCGTGTAGAAATATCCAATGTTTTTTTTTTGTTACCTTTGTCATTTTTTCATTCTGATAATTTTATAGTACAAGGTGTCATGATCCAGGCTGTTTCTAGTCAGGGAACGTTATTGATTAACCTCTCAAGGTAACATAAGGTTATCTAAACAAGGGGAGAGCACATTACTAGATTAATTTGATAATGTCTGCCTAGATTAGTTATCAATGCATTGTAGTCCTTAAAATTCAAGCATTCAGTATCTATTTTAGCATCTTATTCATTCCCTAAATCTTTTTTTTTCCCGGTTTTTCCCCATATTTCTTTGGAACTGAAGCTTAGTGCGAAAGACAATGCTGCAACAAAGCTTTTTCACATGTCTGTTTTTGGAGTAAAAGATTGTAAAAGGCACGCTGAGCTAAAGGTGCCTTGTGTTGCTTGTCCGCAGGGGTTAATGCACTCGGTAAAGACGCTCCTGGGGCTTCTGCTTTAGGCAAGCGGGCTCTGCAGGAGAATGAACATGACAGCGGGCCCAAGCGGCCCAGGTCAGCTGAGGAGAGCAAGACCAGCAATGACCAGGTAACAGTATACAAAGAAACACTGTGCCATCAGCTGTGTTCGGATATAAAACCTTATAAAGTTATCCCTCGCCCTCCACCTCTGATGTTTTCATTAGACGAGTTTTAAAATTAAATTATGAAGTGTTTGACTAGCTTGTGGTGCGGGACTGTGGGTGATCCAGGTCTTAGTAATTTCTGAAATGGATTACATTAAGTGAGGCGAGGAGAAGCTCCAATCTAAAAAGTACTCCTTTTAATGAGGGTGAGACTGAGACTATTAAGTTAGGTACTTTGTAATTTATAATCTCCTCATTGGAAATTCCAGTCAATGATTTTTTTTAAATAAATTGCTGTAATTAAGGACATCCTTAGGAATGATCAACTATCGTTTTTTAAAATCAGTTTCATTTTTTTGCAAAGAATATGCACTACACGTTACACAGAGAGGAAATTGCTTTTAATAGATAAACTGCATTTTTCCCAAGCAGCTGATTTGCGGGACAGAAGAACAGCTGTTGTTTTGGGGTTTGGGACGCTGCACTGCTGCACGAGTGAGCTTCCACCACAGCGTGATTAATGGCCCGTGTCTCTCCAGGTCTACCAGTGCCCGTACTGTAATTACAGTAACAAGGACACGAACAGGATCCAGATGCACGTCATGTCCCAGCATTCCATGCAGCCCGTTATCTGCTGCCCCCTCTGCCAAGACGTCCTCAGCAACAAGATCCATCTTCAGCTCCACCTGACGCACCTCCACAGTGTGTCCCCCGACTGCGTGGAGAAGCTGCTCTCCACCGTAAGCACGCAGCCGGAGGTCAACCGAGCAGGAAACGCCTGCTTTAGAAGCTGGCAGAATATACTGTAGATGTGAAAGAATAACGGGCGTAAGGGGGAGGGGGGTGCTCCCTCTGCTTCCAGTGGCTTCTGGGACGGGCTCATACATACAGCCCTCTATATAGGCTCTTGAAAAACTATAACCTGTTCTCCAACACCTTTTCTCTGGATTGCACAATCCCACCAGTTAGAACACTGCTCTGTCTGTGTTCTTGATTTTTATGTCGAATACATGTTGCTTTTACACACAGATATAAATGCACTGTTCAGTTTGATTTTACCCACGTATTTTTTATATATAATTTTACATCTTTTTATATAATTAAATGTATTACATTCTAGAAACAGGCAGGTGACTGGTGTTGGACTGATGTGTATTTCTGCTTGGGGGGGGGTTTCGGAAAGGTATCCGGACCAGATGTTATGATGCCCAGTAACATGCTGCTGCCCACGAACTCACAAGACAAACTCCAGTGTCAGGTGGACGTGGCTTCAGCTGCTACACAGGAGGCGCCTGGAAAGCCTTCAGGTAGATGCCGCTTTTTTAAATTCCGACTTCGGGATATCTTCCGTCGTTTTCCTCCCACGTGCAGGGAGCTTCTGTTTGAGCGCCAGTGGAAGTTGTAAATATGTGGTGTGCCATATGTTTCAGGATCCTGCTCTAAATCTTCCTCCCCCCCCCCTTCTGCCTCTTTGTCCTCCTCCCTTCGTGCAGGCGACAGTGCAGGCGAGGAGAAGGGCCCTGCGGCGCAAGACAAGGGCGAGCAGGAACTCCAGCCCGACAGGCTCCGGCCTCCAGAGGAGGCTTCTGAAGCGGCAGACTGGAAGAAGAGCGGCGGGAGCCGGGAGGCCAGAACCCCGGACCCCCTGCAGGAGCACCTGAGCGAGCTGCAGAAACGGCAGCCGCTGTCCGTCTCCGACCGCCACGTCTACAAGTACCGCTGCAGCCACTGCAGCCTGGCGTTCAAGACTATGCAGAAGCTTCAGATCCATTCCCAGTACCACGCCATCCGCGCCGCCACCATGTGCAGCCTGTGCCAGCGCAGCTTCCGCTCGTTCCTGGCCCTGAAGAAGCACCTGGAGAACGGGCACCCGGAGCTGAGCGAGGCGGAGGTCCACCAGCTCTGCGGGAGCCTCAGCCTGAACGGGGACTTCAGCCCCGAGAGCGAGGCGCGGGCCCTGGAGGAGGTGCAGGCCCTGGAGCAGGAGCTGGACAAGGACGACGACCTGGACCAGGAGGGCAAGGCCAGCCCCGCCGGGAGCGACAGCAGTTCCCTTCCGGATGAGATGGGTTCCGAACCAAAGCGGACTTTGCCGTTCAGGAAAGGCCCGAACTTCACGATGGAAAAGTTTTTAGACCCTTCCCGCCCGTACAAGTGCACAGTGTGCAAGGAGTCTTTCACTCAGAAGAACATCCTCTTGGTTCATTACAATTCAGTCTCGCATTTACACAAGCTGAAGAAAGTTTTGCAGGAGGCTTCCAGCCCAGTTCCACAGGAGACCAACAACAGCATAGATAACAAACCGTACAAATGCAATATTTGTAATGTTGCTTACAGCCAAAGTTCAACCCTGGAGATCCACATGAGGTCTGTGCTTCACCAGACAAAAGCCAGAACTGCCAAATTGGAAACTAGCAGTAGCTCAGCCAGCGGAAATACTGCTAATAGCCCTGTTTCAGTGAGTCAAGGAAATGTTGATTCTGCAAGCTTACCAGCGTCAGCTAACAAAGAAAACCACATAGATGCCAAAGAAATTAGCAAAAAGCAAGCTCCTGATCCCATTTCTGTCCAGCCCACTCATCAGCCATCCCAGTCACCAGCACAGCTTCAGATGCAGCTGCAGCATGAGCTACAACAGCAGGCCGCGTTCTTTCAGCCGCAGTTCCTGAACCCTGCGTTCCTGCCTCACTTTCCAATGACCCCTGAGGCGCTATTGCAGTTCCAACAGCCCCAGTTTATCTTTCCATTCTACGTCCCAGGCGCTGAGTTTAATCTCAGTCCAGAGTTGGCTTTGCACTCAGCGTTTGGGATGCCTGGGATGACGGGATCATTGCTGGAAGACCTGAAACAGCAGATGCAACAACAGCATCAGGCAGGACAGCAACAGCTTCAGCTCCTGCAGCAGCAGGCTCAGCAGCAGCAGTCTTCGCAGTCACAGATGCAGCAGCAGAAACCACAGCAGCAAGCTACGAAGTCTGCTAAGGTGGAGCAGATCAGCACGGCTATAGCTGACAGTCAGATGTCCAAGGAGGCTGAAGAGCTGTTTGAGAAACAGGAGAGCAAAGCCAAGCAGGAATACCTTTCTGACATTGAAAGCATGAAAGAAAACAAAGAGGCCAAAAAACTGAAGCCCCAAGAGCCGCTCATCCCACCCCCACGCATAGTGTCAGGCGCAAGGGGAAACGCAGCAAAGGCCTTGCTGGAGAACTTTGGCTTTGAGCTGGTTATCCAGTACAATGAAAACAGGCAGAAGAGCCAAAAGAAAAGCAGAACCGTGGAGGACGAGATCATGGATAAACTGGAATGCGGCATGTGTGGAAAGCTCTTCTCCAACATCCTCATCCTGAAAAGCCACCAAGAGCACGTCCACGGACAGTTTTTCCCGTATGGACAGCTGGAGAAGTTCGCACAGCAGTACAGGGAGGCTTACGACAAACTGTATCCCATTTCTCCGTCGTCTCCCGAAACGCCTCCGCCACCTCCACCCCCGCCTCCTCCGCCCCCTCCGCCTCCCCAGGCTTCGGGAGCAGGGAAGGTGCAGGCCCCAACCCCAACGCCACTGCAAGCCCCACCTCCCCCTGCCCCGCCCCCGCCTCCTCCACCGCCTCCTGTGGCCCCTCAGGTCCAGCTGCCCGTGTCCCTGGACCTGCCCCTCTTTCCTCCTCTGATGATGCAGTCTGTGCAGCACCCAGCCTTGCCGCCACAGCTTGCCCTCCAGCTCCCGTCGATGGACACGCTGTCGGCCGACCTCACGCAGCTTTGTCAGCAGCAGCTGGGTCTGGATCCCAACTTCCTCCGGCATTCCCAGTTCAAGCGCCCTCGTACCCGCATCACCGACGACCAGCTGAAAATCCTGCGCACCTACTTCGACATCAATAATTCGCCCAACGAGGAGCAGATCCAAGAGATGGCAGAGAAGTCCGGCCTACCACAGAAAGTTATCAAGCACTGGTTTCGCAATACCCTTTTTAAAGAGAGGCAGCGGAGCAAAGACTCTCCCTATAACTTTAGCATTCCTCCTATCACCACGTTGGAAGACATCCGGCTTGAATCGCAGTTCAGCGCGTTGGAGTATTACAAAACAGATCCAAGCCACAACAAGAGGTCTTCTAGGACACGGTTCACTGATTACCAGCTGAGAGTCCTTCAAGATTTTTTTGACACCAACGCTTACCCTAAAGATGATGAAATAGAGCAGCTCTCCACGGTTCTCAACCTGCCAACTCGCGTAATTGTTGTGTGGTTCCAAAATGCCCGTCAGAAGGCTCGCAAGAGCTATGAGAACCAGTCTGACGCTGTTAAGGACAGCGAGAAGAAGGAGCTGACCAATGAGCGTTACATTCGGACCAGCAACATGCAGTATCAGTGTAAGAAGTGCAGTGTGGTGTTCCCACGCATTTTTGACCTAATTACTCACCAGAAAAAGCAGTGTTACAAAGATGAAGATGATGATGGCCAAGATGACAGTCAGGCAGAGGATTTTATGGATAACAGTGACCAGATGCTGCCAAAGCATGTGTCAGGGCTGTTCGATACAACCAAACCTTCCTTAGGAACAGCAACAAGCTCTGGATCAAGTACTCCTTTAATGCCTTCACCCAAACCCGACATGGGTAAAACCTCTCCCAAGCCCGACTTTCCAACAGACAAACCAAAGCAAGCTGAGGCTTTTCCTCTCCAAGTGTCAAAGGCTGTACCTTTGTCTGAGCCACAGCCCACCCAGCCTTCAACACCTCAACCCCAACAGCAAAAATCCCAGCCACAAATTGTCCGGCCTCACTCGCAACCCCAGACAGCAGTCCCATCTAGCCCTCTTTCTATTGCCATCACCTCCTTGACGAACAGTCTACCTCCTCAAATGTTACAATACCAATGTGACCAGTGTAAAATTGCCTTCCCAACTGTGGAGCTTTGGCAGGAGCACCAGCATATGCATTTCCTGGCAGCCCAGAACCAATTTCTTCATTCGCAGTTCTTGGAAAGACCTGTGGACATGCCCTACATGATTTTTGATCCTAACAACCCCCTCATGACTGGACAGCTGCTCTCTGGAGCCCTTTCACAAATTCCAACACAGAACAGCTCAGCACTATCCACACCTACTGGTGCCAGTTCCAGTTCCCTGAAGCGCAAACTGGAGGAAAAAGAAGAAAGCAGTTCCAATGAAAAAGATGGTGGGAACAGTGGCGAAGATCAGCATAGGGACAAACGACTTAGGACCACCATCACTCCAGAGCAGCTGGAGATTCTGTATGAGAAATACCTGCTCGATTCCAATCCAACTAGAAAAATGCTAGATCACATCGCTCGGGAAGTAGGTCTGAAGAAAAGAGTGGTGCAGGTCTGGTTTCAGAACACACGAGCGAGAGAGAGGAAAGGACAGTTTCGTGCAGTGGGGCCCGCCCAGTCCCATAAAAAATGCCCTTTCTGCAGAGCTCTGTTCAAGGCCAAGTCAGCTCTTGAAAGCCACGTGCGCTCCAGACACTGGCACGAGGCCAAACAAGCGGGCTACAGCCTGCCACCGAGCCCTATGATGGGAGTGGAAGATGGAGGCGAAAGCCCTTCTAAATACAGCTGTTTTGATTATCCACCGATGCTCATAAACAAGGTGGAAATGACTGAATATGAGTCTCCTGCAGCAGCTTCGACACCAAGTAAACAGTTGGAAATGCCGATAAAAAACTTCTTGGGCCCTTCATCCTTAAAGGCAGAAAACAGCGATGATATGGAGGGCCTCAACATGAATTCTGCAGATGTCTCCTATGATCAAAACAAGACTGATTTTGATGAAACGTCGTCCATTAATACAGCTATAAGTGACGCAACAACTGGAGACGAGGGAAACAATGAGGTTGATAGCATAACGGGCAGCGCCTGTGAAACGAAGCCTGCACTGTCTCCAAATGATTCCAAAACCCACTGTGGCGCAGAAGCCAAAAGCAATCCCACATCCAACTCGGACTCTTACGAGGAACGGTTTCCTTTCGCCCTGGTGAGTCCATCCTTGAGTTTCTCCGGGAAAGACAGTGAGCAGCACTACAACATGCGAGATGACGAGCAAGATGAGAATGCAGATCAAAGCGAAAACTCCAGCTTAGCTGATCCCAGCTCGCCAAGTCCCTTTGGGAGCAGCAACCCTTTCAGATCTGCAAAGTGCAGTGGAGAGAGGCCAGGGCACAAACGCTTTAGGACTCAGATGAGTAACCTGCAACTGAAAGTCCTTAAAGCTTGCTTCAGCGATTACAGGACACCGACGATGCAGGAGTGCGAGATGCTTGGCAACGAGATTGGGCTTCCTAAGCGCGTTGTCCAAGTTTGGTTCCAAAATGCTCGGGCGAAAGAAAAGAAATTCAAGATTAACATTGGAAAGCCATTCATGATAAGTCAGGGCGGGCCAGACGGACCAAAAAGTGAGTGCAGTTTGTGTGGTGTGAAGTACACTGCCCGACTCTCTATACGAGATCACATCTTCTCCAAGCAGCACATCACAAAGGTGGAAGAAACCGTGGGGAGCCAGATAGACAGAGAAAGGGATTACCTTGCTCCCACTACCGTCCGTCAGCTGATGGCGCAGCAAGAACTGGATCGCTTGAAGAAGGCGACAGACGTCCTTGGTTTAACAACCCAGCAGCAAAACGTGGTTGACAGCAATGCACTTCACGGCCTCAGCTTGCCAACAGCTTATCCAGGAATCTCTGGTCTCCCACCTGTACTTCTCCCTGGTGTAAATGGCCCTTCATCCCTTCCCGTTTTTCCACCAAATACGCCCGGTGAGTTGGTGTGACCTAATGTAAAAGCTGTCCAGAAAAAACAGAGCGTATCCTAGAGAGAATGCATGAACAAACGTGAACCAAGCCCTCAACGGTTAGCAGTGCATGCAATCCCCTGTTTCAACAAGATGGGATCCATTACTGTCGCTTCCAGGAACTGTCGAAACACATTAATTCATATTAGTGGTTATCAATAGGGGGAGTGTGTTACATCTGAAGCATGCTACACTTTTGCCCCATAACAAACAAAATCAGTCACAAGTGCAGTCTTCTCCTTTTGTCATGCAGTCCATTAGCCAGCTCATTGTGAAAATGGTGTCATTTTATTCAAGTGCGTATTTCAATGTGATTTATACCCCTCTGTTTCAGCTCTAGCGTCTCCT